AAGACAAATGTATAAAACTAAAAACAGGAACATGTCTGCATTGGACCCCGCCAGGAGTCCAACAGATTCTTAAAGCCACTTAGAGAGGTCAAGGTCGAGAGCTTCAAATCTTTTTGTAAGATATTCCAGGAAACAGGAGCGGAGTAGGAGAAGGCCCTTTTGCCTAGTTCAGTCCTCACTGAGGGAACACTGCAGGTAATAATGTCCTGAGAGCGCACTCCGTAGCTGCACTCACGCAGAGACATGTAGGAGGAGATGTATGAAGGCAGCAGACCAAGAAGTGATTTAAAGATGAAAATGTACCAGTGAGAGAGTCTGCGTGAAGTTAATGATGTCCAGTTAACCAATGAATACAGGGTGCAGTGGTGGGTACGATAATCACAGCCAGTTATGAATCTTAGTGCACCATGATAGACAGCATCCAACATCTGCAGGGTTCTTGTAGGAGCGTTCATGTAAATAATATCACCAAAATCAATTGAGGAAAGGAAAGTCACAGATACAAGGCGTTTTCTAGCATTCAGGGTTAGACAGGATTTGTTTCTGAAAAAGAAACCCAGTTTAACTTTCAGTTTCTTTACCAAGTTTTCCACATGGAGCTTAAAAGAAAGATGTGAGCCGACCAAGATACCCAAATATTTATAGGAATCAACAAACTCAATGGGGACACCATTTGAGGATAAAATCGGAGGAAGAACTGCTGGGACCAACTTCCTATTTGAAAAAAGCATCCCTTTGGTTTTTTCGGCATTTAAGCCATCAGTGTGCTAATGATCCATTGTTAGGCTGATGATCCTTCTTGAGCATATGATCAGCTGGTTTTGGTTGTCAGCAGCAAAACTGGTTGATCCACTCTGAGAAGGTGCTATTTAAGAGACTGAGCTGAATACAGCACCTCAGACTGAAGATGTCTCTCGGACGAGAGACGAAACGTTTCTACATTTTTTGTTGTTTTGCTTTGTTTTGGGTTTTTTTGAATGTCCAGAGGACCAGATTTAACTTTTTTAGTTTCCTCTTTATGATGCGCCAAATGTTCTCTATAGGTGAAAGATCTGGACTGCAGGCTGGCCATTTCAGTACCATTTCAGTACCCGGATCCTTCTCCTACGTAGCCATGATGTTGTGATTGCTGCAGAATGTGGTCTGGCATTATCGTGTTGAAAAATGCAGGGTCTTCCCTGAAAGAGATGACATCTAGATGGGAGCATATGTTGTCCTAGAACCTGAACATAGTTCTCTGCATTAATGGTGCCTTTCCAGACATGCAAGCTGCCCATACCACAAGTGCTCATGCAACCCCATACCATCAGTGATGCAGGCTTCTGAACGGAGCGTTGATAACAACTTGGGCTATCCTTGTCCTCTCTGGTCCGGATGACATGGCGTCCCAGTGTTCCATAAAGAACTTCAAATCGTGACTCATCTGACCACAGAACAGTCTTCCATTTTGCCACACTCCATTTTAAATTACCCCTGGCCCAGTGCAAACGTCTGAGCTTGTAGAGCTTGCTTAGAAATGGCTTCCTCTTTGCACTGTAGAGTTTCAGCTGGCAACGGCGGATGGCACGGTGGATTGTGTTCACTGACAATGCTTTCTGGAAGTATTCCTGAGCCCATTCTGTTATTTCCTTGACAGTGGCATTCCTCTTTGAGGTGCAGTGACGTTTAATGGCCCAGAGATCTCGAGCATCCAGTAGAGTTTTATGGCCTTGACCCTTACGCAGAGCGATTGTTCCAGATTCTCTGAATCTTTTGATGATGTTATGCGCAGTTGATGATGATAACTTAAAAGTCTTTGCTATTTTACGCTGGGTAACACCATTCTGGTATTGCTGCACTATCTTTCTGCACAACAATGGTGGAATTGGTGAGCCTCTTACCATCTTGGCTTCTGAGAGACACTGACACTCTGAGAAGCTCTTTTTATACCCAATCATGTTGTCAATTGACCTAATTAGTGTCAATTGGTCTTCCAGCTGTTCGTTATATGCTCAATTTTCTTTTTCCAGCCACTTATTGCTACTTGTCTCAAGTTTTTGGGATTTGTTGACACTGTGAAATTTTGAATCAACATATTTTTCCTTTAAAATATTACATTTACTCAGATTAAATATTTGATCTGTCATCTATGTTATATTACGAATAAAATATTGACATTTGCCATCTCCACATCATTGCATTCAGTTTTTATTCACAATTTGTTCAGTGTCCCAACTTTTTTGGAATCCGGTTTGTAGTTTTACGATGGACATTTGAGCTCTGTGGCTTCAGCGGGGCACTACACTTTGGTCAAACCGGAAGAGGCAACTCGACACCTGCCAGCCATGTCCACGCTCAATCTTCCCCCGTCTCCGAGGAGGGACAGACTGAGCGCGGCTGCCCCAAATCAGGCTGCCTGCTTCGGATTGAACAAAAAGTAGACGTCGCTGAAACCACGGCGCTCAAGTGTTTACAGAGAAGTTGCTAAACTTCATCATAATTGATGACCAACCACTATCAGTTTTAGAAAACGAAGGATTTCTCAGCTTGATACTTGCAGCCAAGATATAGTTTACCCTCCAGGAGATATTTATCAGCACAACAGTAAACAATCATAAAAAACATATTATTTGAAAATTATATTAAAAACAAAAATGGCTACATTATAAAGTGATGTAAAATACTAAAAACAGGAACATGTCTGTTGGTTTATGCCATGAACTTAGCCGGTGTTTGAATTTAATTTAATTTAATTTATTCATTTAAAAGAACCAAAATAAAAAAAAAACATTAAAAAGAAAACATAGAATGAAAAGAGAGCAGAAAGAAGAAAAAAATTCTTATATCTGCCCCTTATTTAAAAAAATATAAAATAACTTTAAACAATCACTTAAAATTAATCACTTTAATATCCACTTTAAAGCTAGGAATAAAAAGAAACATGTTTTGTGTTAGCAGAATGTAATTCTAACTTTAAAACTTATCCAAAATTAATACAACTTACCTCAAGTTGCCTTTTTGGACATGCATGCATATATTTGTACAAATTGTACTTGAGGAGATTATTACAGCCTCATAAAATCAATGATGATGATGATATCAGAACTGGATCGGTATCGGCCGATATTCAGACTTAGGTATCAGGATCAGATCGGAAGTTTAAAAAATTGGATCGGTGCATCCCTAGTACAGATTTATGAAAAATGTACTTAAGTGCAGTATTGAAGTATTTGTACTTAGTTATCTCCCACCACTGAATCTCTGTAATTATTACAAATGGTATGTGGTCTCTAGGTAAAACTAATGCTGTGCAAATGGGGCTAAAGGTGCTTTGAACTTGTCCTAAAGTAGAGTAATTGTTGGTTTATTCTCAGCTCATCTCCCCAACACATCGAGGAGTGCTGTGGAAGGCTGGAACAAAGGCTCAGTGAGCTAAACAAAGAAAAGTACAACATGATACAACAGCATCAAGAGCAGGTATGGTAAAGTATGCAGTAGGTCACTGGTGACGTGATTAATGTAACCAAAATAAGTATACTCAAGGTAGTGCGGGCTCAGGGTCTTGCCCAAGGGCACTTCAGCATGCTGTAGGGCCTGGAGATGGAGTGTTCAAAGATTACCTCCTTATATTGGACTTAAACTGCCCTTCAATCTGTAGGACTGCGGGATTTGTTTATGTCAGCGTCACTTTAACCGCACCCATCCAATCTATCCATATTCTTTGCCTGCTGTTCCATTCAGGATTGTGGGGGGCAGGTGCCTATCTTCAGTGGTCATTGTTATAGAGTCAGGATATGCCCTGGACAGGTTGCAAGTCCATCACAGAGCCACACAGAGACAAACATAACAACCATTCTTGCACTCATTCACAATTTAAAGCATTTTCAGAAGATGTTTCTGTAAAATGGCCGCACAGACCACTCTGTCTTTAAGCTTTTTCTAGCTATTCATAACATTACTGAGCTGCAGGAGTTTTTTTTTTTTTGCTTGTTTTTTTGTTTTCACACATTGGCCAGTTTGGCCCTGTTAATACCTTGCTCTGAGGCACAGAGGTGCATAAGCGGTAGCCCCCACCCACCCACCCACCTACTTGTCACCTCAGTGTGTCTTCTGAATAAGCCCAAGTGGTCAAAACATGTCTGAGCCCCAGACTAATGAGGCTTTAAAGTTGTCGACAAACTTGTCGACAGTCATGTCAAACTGGTTCAAAACCACAAAAAAAAAAAAAAAAGTTCATGCTCAATAATTCAGGTATACAATGAATATATGTTTTGTTCCACTTTGGAGTAAGCTGTTTGGGGGAAGAATCAGTTTTGTTGTGTGTTTCCTTGACTGATGAAGCCTTCCGGATAGAAGGTGAAACGTTTCAGCAAAAAAAAAACCTGTCCAGATGACCCAACTGAAAAATGTTGGATTGTATACCTGGATTATTGAGCATGGACTTTTTTTTGTATTTACAATACAGTATTACAGGCAGAGTGTGTGTTTTAGCAGAGGTCAGCATGTATTTAATCCTTATTGAGTTTGTTGGGAGCAGTGATGATTGTAAAGTCTAACAGCTGCTTTGAGGAAGGACCTGCGGTAACGCTCCTTTGTGCATTTAGGATGCAGTAATCTGTCACTGAACGAGCTCTCCAGTTCATCAACAGCTTCATACATGGGGTGGGAGACGTTGTCCAGCAATGATGTTATTTTAGCTATTTTAGTCCTTCTGTCTCCCACCACCTGGACTGGGTCGAGGGGGCATCCAAGCACCGAGCTGGCCTTCTTGATGAGCTTATCTAGCTGCTTCTTCACAGCTGATGATAAGCTGCTGCTCCAACAGACAACACCATAGAAGATGGCTGATACCACTACAGAGTCAAAGGTTTTCAGTAGCACCCCCTGCACTCCAAAAGACCTCAGTCTCCTCAGCAGGTAGAGTCTGCTCTGACCCTTCCTGTAAAGTGCATCAGTGTTGTGAGACCAGTCCAGGTTATTGTTCAGGTGAACACCCAGGTACTTATAAGAGTCCACGATCTCAATGTCTACTCCCTGGATGTTCACCGGGGTTAGTGCGGTGGGTCTGTGCCTGCGGAAATCCACCACCAGCTCCTTAATTTTAGCAGCATTGATCAGGAGGTGGTTCCGCTGACACCAGTCCACAAAGTCTTGAGTCCGCTGTCTGTACTCTGAGTCGTCCTCACCTGTGATGAGGCCGACTATGGTCATCAGAAAACTTTTGCAGATGGCAGTTTGGGGAGTTGATGAAGTCTGCAGTGTAGAGGGTGAAGAGGAACGATGCCAGCACAGTTCCCTGTGGGACCCCCGTACTGCAGACCAGCCAGTCAGAGACACAGCCCTGTGTTGTCCTCACATACACATACATACAGTAAATACATACATACATACATACACATGAAAATGGCAAAGGCTGATTATTAAACTTGTCACTTGTCAAAATTAAACACCAACATTGTTGGAGATTTATGTTGTTAAAATCCATGGAGACATCATTTTTGTCCTTGAAATGTTGTTCTTTTTCCTTTCAGGCGGTTAACTGTGTTGTGGGAAACATTGTGTATGAACGTCTGGCTGACCATGGTCCAAAACTGGGTCCAGTTACCAAGAAAACCCCTCTAATCACCAGGTAATGCTTTTCAAGGAAACAGGTAGACAGGGTAAGTAAGGAGTGGGTATACAGGTCAAGTACATTGCAATAAATTAGAATAATATTAAAGTTAGATTATTTCATTCTTTCAATTCAAAAAGTGAAATTCTTTATAGTGATTTATTACAGTGATAGGTTTAAAGGGTTTATTTCAGGGGTTTTTTTATACCTAAGAAAAATCCCAAGTTCAGATGTTCAGAGATTTTTAACTTTACATCAGACAAATAGATTGACAATGCTTGAAAAGCCACTGTCATGGATTTAAGAGATTCCAAAACAATCAGGCGTAGATTTTATCAGATTTATTACAAAGCTGTGGAGAACAACCAGCAATCCCAGAAGATCAATGCCTTTACAATAAGGTGACCAGACGTCCCCTATTTCCAGGAACAGTCCCTGTTTTGGACGACCTGTCCCCGGCTAAAGCTGTCCCTGGAAATGTCCCTGATTTTAGCGTTTTATGAATGAGAAAAAAAATGTTGCGTGTAAACTGTTATTACAGTAGCTGGGTAGAAAGCGCCAGTGAGTATGTTGCACACAACAGCTGTAGCTGGTTGCGCTGCTGTTAACGTTACAGACAGAGAAGAAGAAGAGCGCAGCACCGCTGGCTTTAAAACAGAAGAAGAAGACAATGACCACAGTGAAGTTAGTTTTGTTTTACATTGGACATTGGATATTCGCGCTCCGTGGATTCAATGGTGTCTTCCCCTCGCTCAATCCGATGCATGCAGTCTGATTTGGATCAGCTGCACTCAGTCTGCCCCTCCTTGAGTTGCAACGGTTCACTTAGGTGGAAGAATCATTTGAAACGTGAACAGATCTGTGATTAGCTGGGGGTTTAGTTTTAGCTTTAGGCTTACTTTGGTCTGATATCCCACGGGCATGTGGTTCTGGGGTGCTAAGGGGAGGAAACTGATTTGAAATGTGATTTAAAACGGAAGAAAAATCTTTTGAAATGTCATTTGAAACGTGAACGGGTCGATGTTGAACCGGAGATTTAGTTTTAGCATTTAGTTTACCTAGGGCCGTCACCCAGCCAGCCTGTGGTTTCAAAATGCTAGCGTGAGCTAGCATTAGTGGCTCTGCGGAGCCTACGGGCGTCTGGCTAGTTAATGGTTTTTCAAAAGCACAGAGTCGAGCATCCAGATCAGACAGCCTTTCCACTAGAACCGACATATCAGAACATTTGATATATAAACCATTTTCTTCGAACGAAGCTGTATTATAGCTGAACATGTGACATATGCATGCGATGAAGCCAGAAGCCATATTGAGCCAAGGCTAGTAAGAGCTAGCAGATTACACTGATTAAAAAAAAAACACAAGTCCTGAAAAATAAAGACCATGGTGGAATAAGTGAAAGGTTAGGGTGATCAAGCAATGTGGATCCAATGTAGGCAGTCTCTCAGTGGTGCTATGGTCTTAGCTTTTGTGAGAGTTGAAAGTTAGCAGCTCACTAGGCCCACCACGATGTAGCCTGACAACAATGTAGCACCAATAGAGTTGCTCCGCAAGACTGGGGCCCTCCGCTCTCAAAACAAATAGAAAGCAACAAAAATCAACAGAGGGCAGAAAAAATGAATAAATAAAACAGTTTAAAACCACTTGCCTGACCTCAGCTTAATTCGAGTTCAATCTGAGTTGGTCCAAACCAATCGGATTAGCTTAGTTTAGCAAACCACTGCAGAATATTGCAGCAGCGAATTCACGAAACTCAAAACAAATACTTTGTAGAATACAACAAAAATCAAAAAGGGGGAGAAAAAAATGAATAAATTAAATGCCACTCGCCTGATCTCAGTTTAATGTGAGTTCAATCCGAGTTGATCCGAACCGAGCTGATTAGCTTATCTTAACACCAGTGTAGAACATTGCAGCAGTGATTCATGTTACTCAAAACACCTAAAAAGAATAAAGCACAAAACAAGAACCATTATGGAAGCATTACAACAAAGTCAAGAAACAAAACACACGTTTAAAACAAAACTGTTTTAAAACAAGGGTGACTTGCCTGATTGATGATCTTAGGCTTTGTGTGAGTTAGTAGTTAGCACAACATCGACAGGTCACATAGTTAGAAGAAAACACCTAAAACAAAGCGTAAAACCAAAAACGACCAGTATACGATACTAACAAACATTTTAAAGAGCAGCAAAAAACAATTTATAGGAAGTGCATTCATATAAAGTGTTTAAAGTTGTAGATTCTCTCCGAGTAGAGCAGAGCGTAATAGAAAGCGACCTTTCCCAAGCAAGCCAGAACCGGAATTCCACGGTTGATAAATCGCAATTATCAGTGTCAACACCTTAAAAGTATCCAATGGTGTTGAGGTAGGATCCGAAAAGTAAGAATCAGTAATTCCAAAGAAAGAATTAACAATCAATGTTATTCCTGATGCATGCTCAATAATCCAAGTAGAAAAATCTAAAAAAAGTTAAATCAGGTCCTCTGGACATTCAAAAAACAAAACAAAGCAAAACAACAACAAAAAAAATGTAGAAACGTTTCGTCTTTCATCCAAAAGACTTCCTCAGTCTGAGGTGCTGTATTCAGCTCAGTCTCTTAAATAGCACCTTCTCAGAGTGGATCAACCAGTGTTGCTGCTGACAACCAAAACCAGCTGCTCAAATGGTCAAGAAGGACCATCGGCCTAACAATGGATCATTAGCACACTGATGGCTGTTTACTGTTCACTGTTCCTCCAATGCGAAAGTTGGGGGTTCGAATCCACCAGCAGTCACATGCCGAAGTGTCCCTGGGCAAGACACTGAACCCCTCATAGCCTCTGATGTGTGTCCCATCAGTGAATGAATGTGATCTAAAAGCACTGATTAGTCTTATTAGAATGATTTGTTCAATTAGCTTTGTAGAGATCTAGTAGAGTGCTGTATGAATGGGTAAATGAGGACACAGATTGTAGTGTAAAGCGCTTTGAGTATCTTGAAACAAGATAGAAAGGTGCTATATAAGTACAGTCCATTTACCATTTAATGATCCATTGTTAGGCCGATGGTCCTTCTTGATCATGTGATCAGCTGGTTTTGGTTGTCAGCAGCAACACTGGTTGATCCACTCTGAGAAGGTGCTATTTAAGAGACTGAGCTGAATACAGTACCTCAGACTGAGGAAGTCTTTCGGATGAAAGAGGAAACGTTTCTAAATATTTTTGTTGTTGTTTTGCTTTGTTTTGTTAATTTGAATGTCCAGAGGACCAGATTTAACTTTTTAAAATCAAAGTTATTTTGTACAAAGTCCGAAGGAAATAATTCCAAGTAAGAAAAAAAGAAAAATCCAGGTTATTCCACTTGAGTTCAAAAAGGTAATTCCACAAAGGGGAAAATAAACATCAAGGGTTCCATGTGAAGTCCACGTGGGTCCTCTGGAGGGCACGTGAGGCCAGTCACAGTATAATGAGGTCAACCAAGGGATGATTAGTTAGACCACAGGATGATGAGTTAGACCGCATGATGATGAGTTAGACCACAGGATTATGAGGTAGACCACAGGATAATGAGTTAGACCACAGGATTATGAGGTAGACCACAGGATGAGAAGGTAGACCACAGGATGATGAGGTAGACCACAGGATGATGAGGTAGACCACAGGATGATGAGTTAGACCACAGGATTATGAGGTAGACCACAGGATGATGAGTTAGACCACAGGATTATGAGGTAGACCACAGGATGAGAAGGTAGACCACAGGATGATGAGGTAGACCACAGGATGATGAGGTAGACCACAGGATGATGAGTTAGACCACAGGATTATGAGGTAGACCACAGGATGATTAGGTAGACCACAGGATGATGAAGTAGACCACAGGATGATGAGTTAGACCGCATGATGATTAGGTAGACCACAGGATGATGAGTTAGACCACAGGATGATGAGTTAGACCACAGGATGGTGAGGCAGACCACAGGATGATGAAGTAGACCACAGGATGATGGGTTAGACCACAGGACGATGAGTTAGACCGCATGATGATTAGGTAGACCACAGGATGATGAGTTAGACCACAGGATGATGAGGTAGACCACAGGATGATGAGTTAGACCGCATGATGATTAGGTAGACCACAGGATGATGAGTTAGACCACAGGATGATGAGTTAGACCACAGGATGGTGAGGCAGACCGCAGGATGATGAGGTAGACCACAGGATGCTGAGGTAGACCACAGGATGCTGAGGCAGACCGTAGGATGATGAGTTAGACCACAGGATGATGAGTTAGACCACAGGATGA